GGGGGGGGGGGCGCTTCGACCTGAAAAATCAGGGGTTAGGATTTGCACCCGATCGAAAGAAACCTTGCTATCGCAAGAGTAACTCCAGCTAGCTTCGCTAGCTTTCGTGAATAGTTCAAGCAAATCCACTCCAACACCCATCAGATCTGCAAAAACTCAACAAATGGCTGGTGGGGCATGGCACCGGAAAAAGAAGCGGGTTTGTTCCTACGGAAAATGAACAGAATAGAACAAATGAGGATGATCTTGTATCGCACCCGGAACTTGCTTTCCTTCTTTTACAAGAGAGGATTCACTCTTCATGACAGTTGTGCGAGTTTTCTTCGCTTGACCTGGAAAAGCTCAGGAAATGCATTGTAGCCATTCAATACGGACACTTTGGCCTTTCCTGAACCACATACACCACGTGCCACCAAATGCATTGGCCGAGTCTGCCCTCCCCTATTTCACAGAAGTGAGTTCACCTCTTTTCCTTTTTTGCCGTGTAACACGGCATCTGGGTGCGGGTAGATCCGCATCCTGGGAGTTCCTGTGTCTTGGGGTGTTCATCCTTCTAGCTTTTTGTTACTTAGTAATTAGTAATGCCCTTGGTACTAGTAGCTTCTAGCTACTAGTCTTAGTTCATCTCCCACCGGTGGAGATGCGAATTCGCCCCGCTGGCACCGTTCGACTTGGTAGGTCCTCGCAGCTCGAGCTAAAGAGAACAGACTACGACGTAGCGTCCACCTACCGGGCTCAAGCGACTAGGGTCGATCCACGGCCCAAACCACCCTCCCACCCTCCAGAAGAGGCCAAAGGCGCCAGCCCATTGGTTCTCCTTCCCAGTCATCTCCGAGAAGTCGAAGACGCTGCTCATTCCCACCACAGGCATGCTGTACTCCCCCAATGCCAACTCCTACACTACGGAAAGGCAGGGCTTCGTCTGTTCGACCAGCGCGAGTCGGCAGAGCGGACGGACTCGAAGCTCCACGGGCACTGCCCTCGATGAGAAGGGTTTGATGTTCAGAAGCTTCATGAGAAGGATTTGACCAATCAAACACACCCAGAGTCACTGGAGTTGAAAGAACCTATATTTTCTCATTCTGTAATATTGTGTATCTGTATCCCCTCAGGTTGGAGTGAACCGTCTTGGGACAACACACCATTATCACACATGGAAAAACGGGACCTTATCGTCAACTCTCTTCCTTGGGTCACTTCGTCTGTGTCCTGCTTCCCATGTCCCCTGTATCGGTGCATCCCAGGGGTGCATGTCTTGCTTTCAGAAGAATGAGGTGATGGAGGAGGTCTGCTGCAGGGTCCAAGCATGCTGTCTGGCTCCTTCAGGAAGTAATCTGCCTGGAACATCACGTCGCCTGCGTGGCTGTCGGACGATGAATAGGTGGGTGTATTTCTACCAGCACCTTCCAACAGGTCTCCTCTGGAGGGTTGTTAGGCCTATATACAGTAACAGGTTTCAATTGGTGACCTGTGAAGTCGGTGCTGGTATAGGATTACATCTATCGCCACGGAGGACGTGCTCCTGAGCCTCAAAGCTTGAACTGAGTGCTGAAACCTGTCATTTGGGGGGTCTCCAGGGCTTCAGGACTTGGCACGGCGGACGGGACCAGTTTAAGCCCCAGAACCGTTGTTCATTCGAGGCACTGGATCGTGATGGTCTCAGTCAGAGGGGTAGCCGGTTCGCCCTTCTGAACAGATACAGAAGGCCTAAAGATCGGTGGCTTCGGTGCTTCCACCCAACCTTCTCCTTCACTGTCCATCCTTCAGTCACAGACCTGCTTCCCCTTCAGTCACTGTGCGAGTTTTCAGGTCTCTAGGTCTCCGGCCCAAGCTCCAAGGGTCACAAGCTCCGAGCTCGTTCCCAACACTCGTTCCGGTCACCGACTCTAACGACCTACACCGACACCGACTTCACTTGAGAAAAACAACAGAATCTCGCAGCCTGCGCTGGTGCCAGCCAACCACTTGGGCTCCTTACTGCAGATCGATTTCAAGCAGAGCGGGGGACATTTGAAACAAAAGCCTCAGCTGCACACATTCCTCTATCAAAATCCAGGAAACCCCTCCTTTGCCCTCTGAACAAAAGGTCCAAAAACCCCTCAAGAACACATGAACCTTCCCCAACTCCCCTTCAAACACCGTCCCCACATGGTTCCTCCTCCAACTCCACCAGCCAACCGTTCCCAAACTCCACTCGAACCCCACCAAAACAAGTCCACTCCACTGACGCTGAGGTGCATAGACCTTCTTCTGCGGAGATTGCTCCAAGTTCTGCGGGTCCACCGGGTCCAGCGAAAACAGCGGCTCGCGGCTCGCCGTCTTCCGCACCTCGGAAATCTCCAACCGGAAGGTCTGGACGTCGACGGGTTTGGGTCGACCGGCGCCTTGAGGGCCAGGAGGAGGTACTCCAAGTTCACAGCAGCTGAAGGTTCCAGGGTGGCCTTCACTTTCACGGTCCTGCTGGCCTGGGCAGGACGTGAATGCAAAACCCACGAATCTGAGGCCCCAAGGGTCGCCCAACAATCCCTCTTTCACCTCACCAAGGACAGAAAGATCATACCCATCACCATATAGGTGGGGGAGTCTTGCTGGCCATTTTATAGACATAAAATGATATTAAATGGTGGGTTGGGTTGGGTATGAAAGATCCAATCTCGAAATTCTTTGCCTGGCCACACACCCGCCCCGTCCCCTCGCCTCATCCAAGACCAAACAGCACAAGCCCTGCGGATTGGCGTCACAGCCCATGCGCGCGGCCCAGCGTGCATTCTGGGGCACACTGTCCTGAGGTGACTTCGCAGCTTCGAAGACAATTGTGCAGTCTACGGATTTCTATGCTCTTCTTCAGTTATATAGTATAGCACATAGTGTCTATAGAGGTTTCTAGTGCATTCTCAAACTGGAGGCATGTCCCTCTCGATTTTCTGGAAAGCTATGAAAACACGGAAGGCAAAGCCCTCCAACCACTTGAAGATCGGTGTCCGATCGCTACAGATTGGCCCGACGGCCACGGCGACGGTTTCCACCCTTCCGCGCCGCCCGAAGTGGGGAAGCTCCATGAGCAGGGATCTTCATTCAACAAGCAGGGTCTTCGAGGTTCGTGACTTGGGAGGTCTCTAGTCTAGGACTCTGTTTGCGACCTCAAAGTAAAGGCGCAAACATAGAAGTAACACTCATTCGGGGATCTCAACAGTTTCATGTTATAGAGCTGAATCTTGAAGTTCGGAATGGTGGCTGCAACATTCACAACAGTTTGACCAGCCTGGACTCGTCAACGGCTTGTTTTCAAGGTTTGATCCGGACCAATGAACCCGCCATGTTTGCAGCCCGGGAATCGTTACATTGGATCAATGGTGTCAAATCACATCCCAAGCAAGCTTTTCATAGACCTGTTTGCACCTGCATTCTCAGAGGTCTTTTCGAGAGGGATCTTTTGAGACACCACACCTGTGAACCAGCCCTATGGTTCTTCGATCCAAGTGCTACTACCGCCACCTGGCCGAGACGCCATCTGCCATCCGATGTCAAATTCCCTTCGGTTCAAGATCTTCTTCTGCTGCTCCCGCTGGTTTCGGAGCTCTTCATCCCTCTGGGCCTCCTTCATTAAGACCTGCGCCAGTGCTAGCTTAGCTGCCCCCCACGGCCCAGTTTCCGACAGCTGCTCTTAGCCTTGATGTTTTAGATGAGTCCTCGAATCTCAAAAAGCTCTTCTTTGCAAGGTCACTGTGATATTGGAAATTGAGAGCCTTGGGGCCTTGGCAAAACGATGAAAGACGGGAGCCGGCATGCTATCCACTGAAGACTGTGCAAGTGGCGAGAGGAATCTGTTTGCAGACATGCTACAATCTATGATCTGTATCATCCTAACCCTCTCTTCTCATCACAGCCCAGCACCGAATATAAAAAGAGCAGAACATAAAATCGCACCCGAAAACTCGCCTGTGCCATGCACTCCGTGTGCACACACGTGTGCTTCCCCTCGCGGCCCTGGTAGGCAAACTCGCCCACGGGCATGGAACACTTGGTGCACAGCGGCACTTCCTCGCCTTCCGAATCCACCTGGACCCGCCATGCAGCGAGATGCCGGTGGAGGACGAGAGGGGAGCACCGACCGTCATCCGGTCCAACGAAAAGATCCTCAACTTCGTCAGATCTGACCACTCTCTACCCTGAGGACCTCACAAAGTTGGAAGCTTTTACACAACAACCAGTTGGAAATGACTAAAAGCTAATGCGAATATTGGAAGATGAGAACTGAACTGGCCACCGAAACAAACCCAACCACTCCGTCGATCCAAGATCCGATATGGTCGACTGAATTTCAGTCATGGGCGTCGGCTGGAGTCATCCAATGGCTGATGCGAACAGGGCGTGAACCCAAAATCAAGGACCTTCCCAGGACCTTCCAAGGGGTGTTTCTTGATAGCGCCTTAGAGGTTAAGGGCCATCAACCAGCTGTTGGGGGTCCTTGCGGTGAAGCGACCGAACGCGCTCCAACCCCGTGCGTTCCGTAGAAACCGGACAACGCCGCCTCCACCAGGTTGGGCTTGTTCAGGCGCTTCGCCGGTTGGGGGCGATACGCCAAGGCTGCCTGGTCAACGTGGCCGGCCGGTGAACCCAAGTGAGCTGAAGTGGAGCTGGTGTGGACGAGTTCGGGGTGCAGGTAGGCTTTGGACAGGCACTACAACAAGAACTTTGGAGGATGGAGTTGCCTTGTGGGTGTGTGCAAGGTGGAACGATGAGTTTTCAATCTATGGTTTTCTTGCACGGCTGAGGTTCTCTAGTGCAATTCCTGGATCCACTGGATGCTGATCATACAAGTGTAATTACCCAGCAAACTCCAGGGTGGTCAATGGAAAAGCACGCAAGCACTGTGGAAAATGTATACTTGCAGCTTGTCGGAGTAGATTCGTAGAAACCCAGTTTGAGCACTTCAGATGTGGCGAACCAGAGGAACCAGCTTCCACGCCCCATCCCCTCAGCACTCGGGCAAGTCAAAGGGACCGGGAAGACTGGAGCAGAACTCGCCATAGAATGTAGAATTATATAAGTATATACAGTAATGCAGACTCTTGATTAATAACCCCCCTGTTTCACTGGGATATCCTCTTCATAAGGCAGGGTTATTAATCAAGAGTCTACAGTAATTCAATAAACCCCCCCCATTTGGATTGTGAAACCTCTTTATGATTGGGGGTTGAAACATCATCCAGATTCTACATTGGAGTTGGATCAAATCCTGGAACACGTGTTTAAATCGGTCTAGGGCCGATACCCGAAACATCGTCAATCCAAGCTTTGCGCATCACTCACCCAGGCAGGGTGTCTCTCATCCATCCACCAAGCGCGGCACGCGCGGCGCTTAGGCGGCGGCCTGCAGTGACTCGTCTGAGACCTTCTCACCCTGTGGCAGCTTGCCGCTATACCAAGGGAAAGCCTTGCGGCTATAACCTCGCGACGTCTCGCACGCTGCCCGCGATGGTGAAGCTGGGTACGGCGCTGCGATTTGGCCAGAGAATCTGATGGTCCTTCAAGCGGTCCAAATCAACATGTTGAAAAAAAGCAAGTTGTCCCCCCAAATCCAAATCCAGAGAATTAACAAAACCCATTGCAGCCCGCCTGTTGATGGCTCCCTTGCCAAAGACCTTGGTACTCTTATTAAGAAGCCAGTTCTCCACGATAAGCAGAAGAGAAGATTTGCCTCCCCTCCGGCAAACAAAGTGGAGCTTCCCGGTTATCCAAAGGGCCAGACAATCCCCAAAAGCCCATGTCTATTGGGCAGCAAATCACATCTTCCAATCAAAGAGTCTGAACTCGCTGACCACCGGGCAGCAAATCCCTTTTGAACCCACCTGCCTAAGCGAAAACTCGCCAGAAACCTTTTCTGGGGCACCCTTTCTCGCATCGCAGCGACCCGACCTCGACGCCAAGAACATCGAAGCGACCCGCCTGGGTTGGAACCATCGCGGCACTCGCCGAACTTCTGCAGGTAAAGCTGAAAGGCTTCCTTCTCATCCTGTTGAGACCACCACGGGTGGACTTGGACGTGAAGGATTTGGGAGGGCTTTGCGGGTGGGACAAGAGCAACAGCGGGCGAAAAGAGCTGGGCCGCTGGTTGGACTGGTGGAAGCCAAAGGGTTCTTGTTTGGGGAAGACCCCCCAGAATCCAACTACCCCTACAATACGACTGTGGGTTTCTAGAACGGACAGTTCCGACGGCCGGATGCCGGCACCAGGGTCCACACCAAGCATCTCGGTCTGAGTTGGGGCAACTCTGCTGGTTGGACATGGCCGCCCAGGTCTCAAGCAACGTGACCCGTAGACTAGAGTCGGCTAGGGACTGGTAAAGACCCTGCTCCTGACTTCTTGGTTAGTTCAGCCGAACATGCCGAGCATGATACCCTGCTGTTTCCCTGTAGCAGGTGGTGTCAGGTTTGGAGGATGAGACTATGGCCAACGAGCCGCTTAATGGAATGGATTGCCCTGTCCGTGCGTAGATAGAAGAAGCAACAAAATGAGGCCAGCCACGGAGGACCTCTACCCTCAACACACCGTGAAGTGCTGCGATTCGACACCGCGAAGCAAAACCAAGAAAGAAAAGTATTCCAACTCTTCTTCGAACTTCACTGTCACGTGGCTGAAGGATGGTTGTTTCTTTTGGAATATTGAAGGGATTCAACTGAGAAGTATGTGGATCCCATCCATCCACAACAATGGATTTGAAAGTTCCTGTGCTTGATTCTCCTTATTAATCTTCAACCTGGCCAGAAACTGATCACTTGCCTTATCAGTTGACCACGGGACCAAGAACACGAAGAGCCCACAAATCAACGCAAATCAACGCTTTGTGAGCCGAGCAAGCGTTGGTCCCGAGAAAAAAAAAGGCCTCACAAGCATGAATTCACCCGTGGCGCCTGACCCCAAACACACACTGTCGGCCACGGGCCTTTACCAGGTGGTGAAACCCTTTGACTAAGAAAAACATTGATTCCCGGATGGGCAGATCTGATCCACTCCTTTCGTGGTCTACCAATGAAACGACAGGTGGCTTGATGCTCGATTTAAAAAACAAAACTACACCATCGTAGACCCCAAACAGTTTGTGCTTTTTCACAATCGGAACGCTCTGCAACTAGAGCTTGCGACGTTTAGAGCTGGGAGACAAAGGATTGCCAGGCAGAGGGGGACACAGCAGTCCAGAGCTGGGAGACAAACGCACAGGACTGCAAGGACAAATGTAAAGGATTGCAAGGCAGAGGCGGACGCAACAGCCCAGCGCTGGGAGGCAAATGTAAAGGATTGCAAGGCAGAGGCGGACACAGCAGCCCAGAGCTGGGAGACAAATGTAAAGGATTGCAAGGCAGAGGCGGGCACAGCAGTCCAGAGCTGGGAGACATATGTAGACACAGGGAGACACATGTAAAGGATTGATTGCAAGCAACATGCAGCCCAGAGCTGGTAGACACATGTAAAGGATTGCAGGGCAGAGCAGTCCAGAGCTGGGAGACACATGTAAAGGGTTGCAAGCAAGGGGGGGAGAGAGGAGTCCAGAGTTGGGCTGCACATGTAGAGGATTGCAAGGCAGAGGCGGACACAGCAGCCCAGATGGACACGGCAAATGTAAGGATTGCAAGCGAGAGGCAGACACAGCAGTCCAGAACTGGGAGACAATTGTAAAGGATTGCGAGCGAGGCGGACACAGCAGCCCAGAGCTGGGAGAATGTCAAGGATTGCAAGCGAGAGGCGGACACAGCAGTCCGGAGCTGGGAGACATGTAAAGGACTGCAACACAGCAGAGCGGAGACAAAGGAAGACAGAAGGGAAACAAGGCGGACACAATGACCAACAAGAATCCTTTCCATCTGTGTTTCAGCTCTGGGCTGCTGTGTGCGCCTCTGCCTTGCAACCCTTTACATTAGCGCTGGACTGCTCTGTCCGCCTCTCGCTTGCAATCCCTTACATCTCTCTCAGCTGCTGTACCCACCTCCGCCTTGCAATCCTTTGCAACCCTTTACATTTCTCAACCAGCTCTGAGCTGCTGTGTCCGCCTCTATTTGTCTCCCAGCTCTGGGCTGCTGTGTCCGCCTCAGACAAGAAGGGAAGCAAAAGGAAACAAAAGGAAACAGGGAGACAAGCCGGACACAGCAAGAAGGGAGACAAGACTGGAGACAGAAGGGAGACAAGGCGGATACAATAATGACCAACAAGAAGAGAGATAAGAAGGGAATGGAAACAAGACGGACACAGTGACCAACAAGAAGGGGAGACAAAAGGAGAGAGAAAGGAGACAAGGCCGACACAGTGACCAACAAGAAGGGAGACAAGACCGGAGACAAAGAAAGAGAGAAGGGAGACCAGGCGGACAAAATGACCAAAAGAAGGGAGACAAGCAGGGAGACAAAAGAGACAGAAGGGAGACAAGGCGGCTTGCAGAGAGGTGCAACTGCCAAGGTGTTGTGGAAGAGGCGTAGTCCAAGACACTGCCACTCAACCTCTGCTCAAGGATGTGGAAGAGATCTGGGCTGTTGTTCCAGTCACCCAACAGGACGAAATGCTGCTTGGTGGCTTCGATGAGGGCAAGCAAGCGGCCCAAAATCTGGGAGTTGACCTGACACAATGACCAATAAGAAGAGAGACAAGAAGGGGGACAAAAGGAAACAGAAGACAAGACTGGAGACAAAGGGAGACATAAGGGCGACAAGGGGAGCACAATGACCAAAAAGAAGGGAGACAAGAAAGGAAACAAAAGGAGACAGAAGGGAGACAAGACGGAGACAGTGACGAACAAGACGGGGAGACAGAAGGAGACAGAAAAGAGAAAAGGCGGACACAGTGACCAACAAGAAGAGAGACAAGACGACAGAACGGAGACAAGGCGGACACAATGACCAACAAGAAGGAAACAAGAAGGAAGACAAAAGGAAACAGAAGGGAGACAAGGCGGACACAGTGACCAACAAGAACGGAGACAAGACCGGAGACAAAGGGGAACAGAAGGGAGACAAGGCGGACTCAATGACCAACAAGAAGGAAAGCAAGAAGGGAGACAAAAGGAAACAGAATGGAGACAAGGTGGACACAATGACCAACAAGAAGGGAGGCACAGTAACCAACAAGAAGGGAGACAAGACCGGAGACAAAGGGAGGCAGGAGGAAGACAAGGCAGACACAATGACCAACAAGAAGGCCGGCGGATACGCTGTCCCGCAGCAAGGACACCAGCAGTGGCACCGAACCTGGGAGACAAAAGGAAAGAAATCACATGGGAGACAAATGAATAGAAATGCTGCATGGCCAGCGGAAAAGGGTGGACACTAGCAGTGCAGGCACTGAACCTGGGAGACAAAAGTAAAGAAATCGCAGAAACGAATGAATAGAAATGCTGCATGGCCAGCAGAAAAGGGCGGACACCAACAAAGCAGGCACCGAACCTGGGAGACAAAAGTAAAGAAATCACCTGGGAGACAAATGAATAGAAATGCTGAATGGCCACCAGCAGTGACAGGAAGGGCGGACACATCTTAAGAAAGAATTGAGAACCCCTAATAGTAAACTGTTTGGGGAAATACAAAAGAAGTAACTAACTGACTAACGAAGGAATGAACTAACTAACTAATTATAACTAACCAAGTAACCAACTAAAACAAACAAACGAAGAAACAAACAATTGTTGTATCGCAAGAAGTTGGACTTCCCGGAGTCTTCTCCCCTTGCAAAACGATTTCGCCTCGCCCCGGCTCCTTCGCGCGGCGCAACAATCAGTTTCAGCTTCTCTGCTGGCGGGTCGACCCTCGAACCATCAGGGCCCCCCCCCGAAGCGCATCATAGACCACGGGAAGCAGGGGATGGGCGCTCCAGCAGGGAAATGCCCCCCTTCCTCTCCTCATTGGGCTGCTTACCCTCCTCGACCGTCACGGGTGTGCTCTCTCCCGACCTGGACACGCGCGACCGATCGCTGCTCCGAAACGGGAGCCTCGTGGCTTGGCCACGGAGACGCGACGGACGCGACGGATGGGGAACGACACGCACAGTGGGCGCGACACCTCCGCAGCTTGCAATGAAGAGCAAACATGGACAGGTTGGAATGACTCACAGACTCCACAGCTGACCGTTCGCATGGCGCTTGGCCATGCGAACGGAAGGCCATTCTCGCCCAATCAGATCCCACCCGGCCAACCGACTTCGGCTACTTAGCGGCCTGATGGTGAACACTTGGATTTGTATGTCCAACGTGTAAACCGCTGGCGTCACAAGACGCTGTGACTCCACAAAGGTCTTAGGTCATATCGGTAAGTATCTCATTACCCATAAGTAGGTGCATGATGATGTAGTAGTAGTTGCAGGAACCATATGACCTTTCCCCCCTAACAAAATCAGTGATCGTCTTTGACCCAGGGCCAAAAAGGCTAGTTAACTAGTTCAAAGAGAGGTCACCCTACCAGAGATCCTTTCAGCTCCCTTCAGGTGCCTTCAGCTCCTCCTTGTTCCGTGGAACCATTTTCCTTTGGGCCCCCTGACGAGGGTGAAACCATCTCCTCGGCCTCGCTCGGATCTGTGGTCTCCACTGGCTCCTCAGCCTAGGACAGACGATGACACTCTTTGTGGAGACACGCAAGCAAAAGTGAGTGTCATGTGGCACCACCCCCTGGCGACGGATTTCTTCATGACCTGCTCCAAAGAAGTGTTCAATGCGTGATGCCTTAAGTAGCTGCCTGAAGTCTGCAATCGAATCGATGCGGAACTTGAAGAATCGCCCCCAACAACATCAGATTCACAGAGTCTGACATCTTCTGAAAGAGGTCTCCACTGAAAAAATATAACAAACCGTGCTGGAGCTGTGAACAAAGCGATTGCGGAGCATGCGAAGAGTCATGACTGATCATATCATATAGATCGAAACCTCTCACCCACGACAAACGAGGTAAACTTCGCACACCTAGTCGACCCCAAGAACATCAAGATCAAACCCAAAATCAGAAGATAGGTGTCCAAAAATACCACTTATGATACTCTCAATTCCGATTGAGCCTGATGCCACACCCTGAGAAGTACCCTGAGAGTCTCACCCTCGAAAATAGAAGTGCTAAAGTTGCAGGAATCTCTTTGGCCCTGTGATCGAGAAAACCTGACTGTCTACATGGGGCCACTACAACAACACGGATTGGCTCCAAAGGCTTAGCACTAGAAGGGAACCTTGTAGTTTTTAATCGTTCATATTTTTCCTCTACAAAGTGTGTTAGTACACGTTCAAAAAATGTATATATATATATATTATAGCAATAATTTATCGCATTAAAAATTCTAATCCACACTAAAAAACGAACGGAACAAATCTGTTTCACCCGGTCAGTGGGGTTTTCGCGACGCTCGTAATCCGCCCACCTTCAAACAGGCCCACTGCGAGAACTTGCCCTTCCGAGAAGACGAGAGGACCAACAGCTCCTGAAAACCGAGCGGCTCTCAAAACGCCAAGGATGAAAGGAAGGAAGGTCCACCAAGGACAAAACAAGAACAAAACATGCCCTTGTTACTAGTAGCCTCTTGCTACTAGTAGTAAGGGCCTCCAGTAAGAACCATGAATCGTCTGCACAGTAGTGAGCCAAGTTCTCTATGAGAACAAGGACCAAAACATGCCCCCACGGGAGCAGGAAAGCAGCCCAGGAAAACGGGAGGCAAGAAGGAAAACTCAGGGGAAACGAAAAAACAGCCCTGGAGCTCTCGCCCGGCGAGCAAGGCTCATGAAAGCTGGGGCCGGGGAGGAAAAAGAAAACAGAAGAGCAAAAACAAGGAACCTGTCAACGACAGGTGACCCTGTGCTCAAAACGGGCCGGCGCTCAGACAGGATCAAGGCAAGCGCTAGGCGTCCAATTCGGCACGCCTTCGCAACGCAGCCCGGGCCCTCCAACTGTGCACAAGCACAGAAGCCTCTTGCAGGAGCGTGCTGCCATCACTGCCAGCTGCACGGCTGATGGATTCCAAGGCCTTGGCTGCTTCAGGCGCCCAAGCGCCAGTAGTCTCGGCCCAAGCGCCAGTAGTCTCGACAACCATGGGCAAAAAGAACACCTGTTGGGCGGCGCAAGCCTCAGCAGTATCCAAATGCCTCCGCTTGTGCTCAGTGTACGCCGAAGCAGCCGAAGTGATCCCCTCCGCTCCAAGGACGTCCAACCGCTGAGGCGCCGTGATTGCGAAGTCAAGGGCAGTCGGACGACCATGGAACGAAGGGAGAAACACATCAGCAGGTCGTCGGCGGGCATGGTGCACTTCATCAGGCTGCTGGGGCAGCAAGAGGCCAGGTCGTTCTTTCTCAGGACCAAGTCCCGCAGGCCATTGTGGCGCAAAGCGCGCTCCCCACCAGCTGAGCACATCCCAGAGTGATGGCCATAAGTGTCCAGCACAGCATCGCATTTGGGACACCAGACATCTCCACGCGCTTCAGGAACGCCAAGTCAAACTCGCAACTCAGTAGTGAAAACAAGCGGCTCCATCCGAGTCCGACTGGCGCAAGTAAGAAAGGCCCGCGCCCCAGGAGCAGCTTCAGACTGGAGGGTGGCCTTGCCAATGGCAGAAGCAGCCGCCAGCTGGCGGGCCCAACCAGCTTCATCAACTCGACGACTCAACTCTTTCTGGGAGAGTGCAAGTGCGGCAGCAGCAGTGAGCTTCTGAGCAGGCTCAAAAGCAGAATTCAAATCCGACAAGGCGGCTGCAACATCACCCGAGTGGTCCACCCAGTAGCCAGCGTCAAGCTCTTGACATTGCAGAGAGCACCCGCCAACAGAAGCAAAGTAGGCTCCAGGAGCATGTGCGCGAGTGGAGCGAAGACCCAGGCCAGCGTGGGCAAGACCACGGGTAGCCTGCTGCCATTGGGCATGTTCAAGGTGTAGGCCAGTGAAGGAGCTGAAGCACTCTTGCACCAGCTGATCAAAGCTCTCTAAAGCAGCGACATGGCCAGCAGGAGGGCAGCAACGCATGGTATGTACCAGTCGAGCATACCCAGCGGAGGCACGCAGCAGCCGCAAGGCGACTTGAGGATCTGCCAGGCTCCCCAAAACTTCAAGCAGCTTGCGGGCACCAAGGCGGCATGGGATTGGAGGTGAGCAGGCTTTCCAATGGCAGCTCCCAAGAATTCAAAATCGTCGAGGATGCGGCTCTGACCCACAGCATTCCTCACGAGAGCTGCTGGCAGTTTGGCAATGATCGCTGGAGGGGGAGTCATGCCGACAGCAATGGCTTCACTTTTAGCCAAATTCAAGGTGAGGCCTAAGCCAGCAGCAGCGTGTTGTAGTTGAAGTAACGCAGTGGCGACAGCCTCAATTGAACCAGCTAGCACACCATCATCAAGGTAAAAAACGGAGAAGTCAACTGGGCCAGCGCGAATTGCTCCCTCGCTTCTCGGAGGGCGACATCTCGATCGATGGAATTAAAAGCATTTTGGAAGTCGACCTTGACAACGACAGAATCCGTAGACCCAGCATGGCGGCCAACCCAGGCCCGAAGAGCATGGATGGCCGCTTCGGCCCCAGCCTTCACAGCGACCCCCGCTTGGGCAGGCCAAAAATGCTGCCGGGCTTCCGACCGCACTTGTTGCATCAAGCACTTGGCAGTCAGCCGGCGCAGCAGCTCACCCACAGCAATGGGGCGAACACCTCCAGACGGCTTGGGCAGAGCGACCAAGCCAGCATCTCCCAGAAGAGGGGCAATGGCAGAGCATGCTTGCCCTTGGGCAAGCAGGTTGACCTGGTGATATGGTCCAGCAGTCCGGCGGTACCACCGTTGCTCAAGGCATCCCGTAAATGCTGAACACGGAGGCCGGTTGGGCCAGGCGCTGTTTGAGCAGGAAAGCTACGAAGAGCGTAGGTCACCGAGTCCACGTCCAGCAAGGATGCCACAGGCAGCTCGTGCATGGCTGGAACAGTTGGTGCTGGAGCCGTTGGGTGTAAAGAGCGTAGAGCTGCAACAGTGGCGGGAGAATGCTCACAAAGTCCCTGAGACAGCAAGGCAGTGCAAGCCTTCTTGTCGAAACCCTCCCGGGCCAAGCCAATCGCAAAGTCGCGCTTTTGGTCCTCGGTCAGCTGCCGGGCTTGTTGCCGGGGACACTGAGGCGGCTGGCCCACAGTGTGGCCCGCTCGCCATCTTGCCACCTCTGGAGGCGCTCCAAGGTAAAAGCAGCAGCGGCTTGCGACCACCCCGCGGAGGGGCACACAGCACCGGTTGGGGAAGCATCAGCAGGTGCACCCAGGCACGCTCATCGTTGTACTCAGCGGCCGCAGCACATGCCCGAGGAGCCCAAGCATAGCGAGCGCGGGCCGGGACATGCCTCAGCGTGGGAGTATTGCTGCATTGGATCTCGGACAAAGAAGGGAGGGCGCCATCATCCGGGCCCCGAGGTCCCAAGGCCGGCCCAGGCCCAGCAGCGGCTCGAGCAGTGGGACGACATGTCGGGTGGATGCCATAGCGCTTAGCCACGCTCAATCCACACACCAAACATTGTTGCAAATCGCGATCTTGAAGCCAGGATGCGGGGACACGACCTGCCAACGAGCCTCCAAGGTGGGCATCAACATGCGTCCTGAGAGCCGGCCGAAGCCCACCCTCGGGCACGGGCGCCATCAGCACAGGGGCAGCCTGGTACAGAGCAGAAAAGCCTCTGGCCACCGGCAGCTGCCATGGGGACGTCAGCCTGGGCAACTGCAGGTCCACCAACATCCATGCCACCCACAGCCGCATCTGCCCACAGGCGAGGACGTTCCCCGCCCAGAGGAGTCCCAGGCGCAGGCACCATGCCCCTGAAGGAGAGCCGCCCCGACCAGAAGGAAGCAGAGGGGGGCTCTGAGGTAGAGGAGCCCGGCAAGGGGCAGGTTCCTTACAGGGGGAGACAAAAGAAAGGACAGCCAAGGACAAAAAGGTCCGGTAAAGCTACCAAGGTCTGTCCCGCGACAGGGCAGAAGAACGGAAGTCTTCTTGCCAAAATGCAGGACATGGATGAGGGTTTTTCAACCTGTAGTTGAGTTTCTGACCTCAAAACTGGGCCCATCAAACTGCTCGGACAGGGTCTACACGACCTTAAGGGTGGAATCCTGGAGCCAACATGGCCGATGTTCCTTTGATTCTTACGCTTGGCCTACTCCGACTAGGATGCCGTGAATTTGGACAGGACAGTGGATCACCCGGTTGCGATCTTCGATGTGCAATCCTCACCTCCACCCGGACAGTCAGGTGACATACTTGCCAAAACACCTGACTTGCCACCAGCTGGTCACCAGCTCTCTTTTCATGACACCGTCATGACACCGCAAAAACCGCGCAGGTGTTCTTTCGTGCGCGTCGCGCCGCGCCGGTCGCGTCTCACCTGCCACCCCTCAGCGACTCTCCTTGACGACGTCCCTCGTCGTCACCATTGCCCGGGCGACGAGATCCGGCGACTCGATCGGTCACATCGGCTAAGGATCGGTCGCCTGCTCAGAAGGGAATTAAGATACCATATATATATATATATACAAAAAAACACATATTAGATACATATATGGTATCCCCCATATATATACCATATATAGATATAGGGAATTAATATATATGTATATATGTATATATATAAAGACTCGGACCGATCACTCCTTTTTACAGCTTTCCAAGGCCAATTGTGTCGAGAAAGTGGCAAATCCGAAGAGTTAACCTTCAAGAGTCCCCCTGAACAGCCGCCGCCAAACCGAACAGCTATTCAGCCTCGAGGACTGATTAGAGTTACCCTCGGTCTCTTTATTAAAACATTTAGAAGAGGAGAAACTTCTCCCTCACTTCTCACATGGCTCTCTTGTCAGCTCTCCGCTTTTGTTTCGAAGATTTGCTCTTTCCCAGGCTCAGCCAGGGAGGGAGGGCTCTGGGCCGCTGAGCCGGAGCTGCAGAAAAATCATCGTTTACCGTTTCTCGTCTTTACTTACGAGGTCGCAAGCCCAAAGACTCGGACCGATCATTCATTTTTGCAGCTTTGCAACTGCAATTGTGTCAAGAAAATAGCAAGTCCGAAGAGTTAACCAACTCTTTACTTCAAGAGTGCCCCTGAACAGCCGCCGCCAAACCAAACAGCTATTCAGCCTCGAGGACTGATTAGAGTTACCCTTGGTTGCTCCGCCAAACCCGGAGGACTCCAAGGCCCCGTAACTCTTTATTAAGACATTTAGAAGAGGAGAAACTTCTCCCTCACTTCTCACATGGCTCTCTTTTCAGCTCCCCGCTTTTGTTTCGAAGATTTGCTCTTTCTACCTCCACGGCCCCCCGTCCTGCTGGAGACAGCGGGCTTAAGCGAAGGCAGTGGTTCGTGACATGAATTCGTATAAATGAGGCGAAAACGACGATTGCTATGGGTAGAGGGAAGATTCAAGCTAGTGAGAACCGCTAAACCATCATTGATGTATGTACGTGCAGTGCGGGCATTCTGCCAGCGACCGTACACCAACAACCGGTCTGATTGTCCCCACTTCTTAAACCAGTAGGTGGCACCACCCCTGCAGAGTGAGTAGGGTCTAAAATCACAAGCTTGAAAACCTACGGCGATCAGAGTATCATTGAACTGCTTGCGCCACTTGGCAGGTTTGTCACAGAGGGACTCCTCAGCCTTAGCAGTTTGTTTCCAGTGAAAAAGCCAACGAAGGACTTGCTCCACAGTCAAGGTCACACTCTCCGCTGCGCCTTGGCGCTGGCCGCCTTTTGTGAAACCTAAAGAAACCACGGCTGGCCCACGAGGTGCATCAATGGCAACCGAACGCCCAACAATGCCTAAAATCTCTCCCGTACGCAGGACTCCATAGAAGCCCACGAGGAGGGACAAGGCGAACTTGAACTGCTGCTTAAACAATGCATAACCAACCATGGTATGTAGAACTCCAAGCTTTAAACAGGCGCCATGCAGCTGGAAGGCGCTTGCGCGCGTCTGGTTGTGCATCCTGGACAGCGGCGACCGTATCAGACGCCAAAGCACGGCCAAATCCTTCACTCCACAGATGCTCCAAGTATTCACACAGCAACTGGTCCAAATCATGCGCTTGGTCTGGTAGACGTCGGCCTTCCTCACGCAAAAAGCTCCAGAATTGTTCCAAAGCCTTGTCATACCTAACACGGGTGGAACCTTGGACAGTCAAAGACTTCAGTGTCCCTAGCTCTGCTCTCCTCTTTTTACGCTCTTCTTGTGAGTGTCCTTCCACGTAAAGTCTGCCTACTTTTCCCATCGTCGTCGGACAGGGCGCCGACTCGGGCGGTCGGCGCGGTTTTGGTCCAAGTGAACATACGTCCACACGACATGAGATCCAGACACCAACAAGAGGGAGTTAATCTTGAGGAGAGTTCTGCGTAATTTGCGACTGCTGGAATGGCCTCTGGCCAGAGCATGAAGGCACACTTGCGAATCGACCAGGTGAAGAAATTTAGAGCGAAGCCAACCTTTCTTACCAATCCGCCAGCGCAGGGCGGTCCAAACCGCTCTCAACTCAAGTGAATTGATATGCTCCGGAGAGCCACGCCAACGCCAGCCACAAACAGTGCGCCACCGCCATAGGTTCGACGGTACGCTAGCCCTCAACCGATGATAGCGCCGTACGTCTTCTGACAGGGCCTGCAACAGCAGATCTTCACCCTTGCCACTCACCATTCCAGTCAGCTTACGAGCCAAACGGTCATCCAACGGTTCCACCGGGGTCCGGGGGACACGCATGAAAGGTCGCAACAAGAAGCCTTGAAGAGAACGTCCTCCACCTGGTCGGCATCGTTGCATCAACTCAGACAAAGAGCACGCTCGACAGAGACCTCGTGGCATGCCAAGGCAGTATAACAACCATGCAATGACAAACACACACCATGAGTTCCCAATAAGCGACAACCGCTCATCAACCCAAGCCATTCCCTTTCGCGACCCTTTTGCAAAACACTGCGAAGTGTACCCCCGGGGAAAGCCCATCAACACCTCACGCTCTTCAACGCTTGGCAATCGCACTTGCCCATGCTTGTTTGCAACACACAGAGCGCCCCGATACTGATAAGGAGGGAAACGGTGCTGGTCTTCACGCCAGCGCTGGAGTTCGTCTGCATTGCGCTGATGGATGCCTGCTGGTCTCCGGCCAGGTTCGCTGCGAGGTCGACTGGTTGAAAAGAGGCTCCTGACTACACTTGCGCCATCCGGGCTCCAAGCACTGCTCCACGTCACGCGCACTTGCCAAAGTCACTTCGGTGACACGCTCCCAACCTTCACCTGACACCGACAAGATGGAAGCCCCAGAGGACTCCTCCAACTCCCACGACGGCAAGTATAGGCGAGGACGCCGACAACCAGTCACTTTGGAAGCATGAATGAGGATGGGTGTGCTGTCAACTGACTGACTCATGACCTCACGGTCTGCTGTATCCATGGAAGCAACAGATTCCATCAAGCGATGCACTTGCGCCCAGCAAAAACAGCCGCCTAACCAACACGTGAGGGAACAAGCTGCTCCGGTGATCCCTCAGTGCTCCTCGTCGATCAGCGTTCAAGCCAGACACACCCTGGCACGGCGGGCCCGCGCCTACAACCTCGACGGACACCTGGCTAAAGGAACATGCCCACTGTCGCACCACCTCATCAGTCACCTCCTGGACACTTTCCACAAAGATAGTTCCGGGGAATCTACTCTCAACGACCCGTTAGCTGGCCATTCCAACCGCGTCTGCAGCAACACGCAGTCCTCCTATGCCGTCAAAAAGGCCCACTGTGAGAACTGTGGGGACCTCCTGGATGTCCACTACATCACCTCGAACTGCTTGGTTGGCCGCAATCGTACCCACCTGGGACAAGCCTTGTGACCCTGTGACACCCCCACCTGTGCTCGACGCATCTGAGGCAGCAAAGACACCTGACAAGTGCAACCTAAAGTCCATCTGAGACAAAGGGGTCAACAAGCAGAATCTCGCCAACTCCGTGCGCACCACCGACGGAATGACTTGGCACCACGGTCCATGTTCAAACCCTTGCGCAAATTGCCACACTGCATTCAAAGCTCCGAGAAGGGGTCGACGAAAGGTACTAATGTAAACAAACCCGCCAGCGATCACTTGCATCTGCCTCTGTGTGCATCGTCCACTTTGCAACAGTTGACACAAGTGTAAGTACCTAGCAAGCTTGTCTCCCTTTGGCGCCGCTGAACCTCTCAAGCGTTCGTTCCTGTGGGGACAAAGACCAGGTGGAACTGCCTTCCCAAAGGCCAGGTATTTGTGCCAGTTACCAGGGACCGCAAAGATGTAGAAAAAACATCTAACATCTTCGGAGCTTACTACCACAGTGTCTCCCCTTCGCCTACTTCAAAAGGGCGCATAGAAGGCCCGGCCGGCAGCGTGCTAACGTCTCCTTTGATGGGCCTACAGATCCGATTCAATGGGATCAGATTCATGATGAGCCTGTCATGAGCCTGTGTACTGGAGCACTGCCTGACACCTCGTCCTTGGGGACCCCGAAAAGGCCATTGAACAAAGGCTTTCCTTGTATGTGATGTACTTCTGACTCCCTGATCAGACCACAGATCCCCTTCTCGAGGAGACCTCTTGCGAGTGCCTCCCACTCAGAGTCGGGGACCATGACCCGAGGAGCCTTGACCCTCACCTGTTCGGCCTCTGGGAGTAGGTACTCTTTAAAGTGGGTGACATAGTGCAAAGACCCTTTTGTGACCACATTGATCAGAGGAACCGTACCTACTTCATCCGGAAGTGCT